TCAAAAGGCAGCCATGTTTAGGGCATAAGACAATCCAATAGATTGGAGAATTATTTTGCAGGAGTTACGGGAGATGAGCCCAGAAGATGCATTGTGCTGGATTCTTGGGTACCAGAATTAGGGGTGTAAGACAATACTAGAAATTTTTTTGAACATCAGAATTTCCTGAGCGAAGCAAAAACTTTGGTAATTTAGGAACACTGATCTTTTGACTATGCTTGGAATGGATTTGAGTAAGGAAAGTGTAGAGCAAGGAAGGCCATTTGTGCTATGATTACAATGGGCCAGATGCAATCTAATGAGACTGAGCTGGGCTGTTTTCATGAACAGGCAGGCTCTTGTTGAGCAGGTAACTATTTTTCATAAGGACATAGTTAAAATTATACTTGTATATACCTATGAATACAGCATAGAAATTGTTTGTATTGCATTAGAGCATTAAATGACTCTTCTGACAATACTGCATTTCATTCTTATGAGTTACAGTGAGTTTAATGTTCATTACCAGGTGCTCATACTCATGCCTTGAAAATATAGTACTAACTTGATAGCCTATAACTTCTCCTTTTAATACTATTGCTGGTTTGTACAACATTGTGAGATGTGAGTGCTACAATTCAGCACAATATCGGGAGCATTAATTCAAACCATATAGAGCCTCATAAACTTAGAATTGCTTTTTGATGCGCAAGGTTTCCTTTGTACAGACAAAAAGGAAAAGCTACAAATCATATTTATAATTTCTCACTCTGTTAAATAATCAACTATTGGAAGTTTTCAAACATTACATTGATAAATTTCAAATAGGAGGCACCTCTGACCCCTGTTTATTAAGCACAGAATGCATTCTGTATAAGCATTTGGAATAGTATCTGGTTCCATTAAGTCTGATTATAGTAATATACAATTTTATGCATTGTGTATGATTCTCTCAGCTAGAAAAAGTTTACATAAAGGAACCAATTGTTGAGTATCATTTTGAATTAGCTTTTCATTTTATATTTTAGTAGATGTTCTAGAACTTGGCAAGTAATGTTTTGAATGCCATAGGCATTCAGATGTAAAATAGATATTTAGAGTTTTTATCAAACGTGCATAACCTATATAGGACCATGTATCTGAATATATAAAAGTATCCAGATATTTTATCAATTTATCAAAAATATTTTATCCTTACTTGTGTTGTATAAACTATATAACTTGTAAATGTGGGTACATTTTCCAAGCCGTATTTCCTTAATTACAAAATTAAATGCTAGAGATAAAGACCAAGAAGAAAACTATTAAATAAAAAAGTCAGAAATTTGTTTGAAAGTCTGTTGACACACATAATCATCACTAGTTATTGCAGCTTTGCCTTGTGTAGTACATATAAATTATCCTCTGCTCAAGTACATGCTTTAAATCTATACCGAAGCTGATCAGAACAGATTAATGTGCCTTCTTTAGAACAGACTCAAGACCATACTCCTCAAGCAGCTGGTAATGGGTTTTGGACAATGAGCCTGGGCCCAGGTTAACTGATTCCATTTGTTAATCACTCAGTGGAAGATCCAGCAGAGTCACAGATTAATTCTGATAACTAAATGAGAAGAATAGAATTAGATTTGTGCCTGGCACCCCCTGTAGTTACATCTCTAGTGTCGAAACAAATAGCTCCATGGATACAGATTATAAAGCCTTAACGGGAGAACCAGATGAGTAATTTTAGCACCTATTGGTGTGGGTTAAATTTCAATTGATAAATTAATATTTGCATCAATATTAATGTTTCTACATGGCCTAGCATTAATCATTCTTGCTAGAGAACAACCTTCATTGTATCTCCAGGTCTGCAGGTCTGTTCATGTTAGTGTTGCTATAAGGGGGGGTGTACCATCTTTGGCAGCTTGTACCTATTTCTTATGTGATATTGGTGGATTTTACTATTTCATGGATTCACTAATCCCTTTTTTCATTTTAAGGTTTTTAATGAAAGCTGCATAGAAGATTATTTTATATCTGCACCTTCTCAATGGTTTTTTTCCTTGTATTTGCCCTTTCTTTTTCTACTTGGCAAGATTTGGCTTTTAGTTCAAGGATCTTTTGGCAGTCTTTGTCCAGCTTTAGTCTAGTGATAGCCACCTTGCTGGGGAGAATGCCTACACGAACAGTTATACCATCAGCTCTCTCCCACTGCACTCATTCAGTGTAGATGGCACATTTCTTCCTGTAGAAATGGACCACTTTGCCAATTTGCTGCCCTTTGTAGTGTCCTTGCACAACCTGAACTTCCTCATCCGTTTGGAAGGGCACGGATCAAACATTGTACTTCTATCTCTTTGGAAAAGGGAGAAGACATTATCTTCCTGTCAATGTGGGAAGGTGCATTGGAATGCCTCTTATAGTTCTTGCTCCTGTCAGAAGTCACAAAGGAATTGAACTTCATTTTGACCGCTGGCATGTCAGTGATGGCTGCCAGTTTCACTAATCTTGTGACTCAAGACTCTAATTCCTAAAAGAGACATGAAATGTCACCTTCACCTAGGAAAGGAAACTTCTCTACAGCATTTCTGATTTTCTCTCATGAAATTAGACCATTTTGCCTTTGCCCTTTTCACTACAGCAAAATTGTCATCATATTATAGGGAAAGTTAATTTTGTGAAAATTAATAGATCCAAAATAAAACTA